ATCATAAACTGCCCAGTTTAACGTCTAAGAAAATTTGTTGAATCCTGTATGCCCAAATTAGATGGGGTATATATTGCTTAACTTGTGAGTATTCTCTACCACGTCATTAAATTAAGACCATGTATTGTCTGAAACCATGGGGCCACCTAAATTAGTAGTCTGGTTATGGCCAATAGCAGATGTGTGGGGAACAGAATAACAGACACATATACAGTGATCCTTCTCTTGTATTCTTCTAGCCTTTGACAAAGAGAGAATTACAGATCTCTTTAAGCAACAGACTGCATGGAGAACACACCCAGCATCAATGTTCATGTGTTACTTGTATCTAACAGATCACCTCTTCTCTTAAATTTTTTATTTTTTCTGAAGGTGTTTATGCAGCACTATGACATGATGTTCTCATTGATACTATGAAAAATTCAAATGGGTCTTCATTCCTAGAGGAAAAAAAAACTGACTGTACATACAGTCTTTGGCAAGAATATTTCCTTGGATTCCTTCTGCTAAGTCATATTTTTTTCCCCAGGGATAGTTCTCCAAGGCTGTTCAAATAAGATTGTTAGTGTATTACAACCTTTGTATATTGATTACTTTGAGCAAAGCTTGGAAAGGTTCTGACACTATTTTAAAGAGGAGACAACAAAAAGGGAACAATCCGAAAGATTTCACTTTCAAACATGGTGAATTTTTTTTGTTTGTTTTGTGTTTTTACTCCTAACTCCCCTCATAAGGTGTACATTAAAGATCATTATCATCAATAACAATTTTTCCTCCTCTCTTCCTTTTCTTTTCAGATTCAGAGTTTTGAGAATGAAACTCTACGTGGAAATGCTCCTGACACCACTTCAGTTGAGTGTTAAGAAACGATTTGCCCATTTTTATTTTTAAAACACTGTTTCCATGTAACTGCTTCTAAAGTTTACCTAACAATACATTTTCCCTCTCTGCTCCCATCACCTCTGGCATTTGAATGCATCATTCTAGACATGACAGTCTAGATTATACAACTTGATAAATCATAGGGCTGTAAAATAGCTTGTCAAGGAGACACAGTGAGTGCACATGAAAACAGTATCTCACATGCGCAACTTTGAGTGTGTGGGGTCCCTGTTTGATGCTTTAAGCAGACCTCTTTTTGGTCTACGAAGCAACACTAAATGTGTGCTCCTCCTTGGTGAATTATTTGCCAGACTCAAATGACCCCTTATACACTAACTCTCAGATCCCTGGGAGGTAAGTCAGCCAGGAAACTGGAGATAGTAGCTCTGCAGCCATTCTGTACCCAACTCAGACGGGACCACTCAACCAGAACTTTCTGGTGGTGGCATGGCCTCTACCCCATCATCCGTGTCTACTGTATCACATAGCCACTACCACATGAGCTGACGTAACAGTGAATCATATGTTAGAAAGTAAGTTATTTGAGGAGCCTATGAAAGGATTAACCGCAAAGCTGTTGGACCAGATGTTATGCTGTCATTTGGGGCAATCTGAGTTTGGATCCTGAGAAGCATTTGCTCTCAGGAATGGCGATATTGGGGAAATGGCTCTTCAGTCTCCAAAGCAGGAAATACCTGTCCTTGCTCCCTAGAGACCTTTCCTATCCAGTGCTTAGAGCAGAAATGGCAGGGTTTAGGTTTTTTTAAATGGGGCATAAGTTTAATGTGAAAAAAATAATAAATAGCAAGTAGCAGACAGTAAAGGAGAAAGCTGGAAGTTTGGTGAGCCCTCACCTTTCGTGAACTACATTATATTACTTCCATGGAGCCAATACAAATAATACAGCAACCCAAGTTCCTACACAGGTATCTAAAAAAACCTCAGATATCCACTGGGCATTCAGAGGTACCCTTGACTAGAGTGACAGCTGTATTTGCAGGAGTGAAATTGTGAGCCTGTTTAAGGTAAAGGCATATGTCCTACTGACTTCAGTGAGGTCAGTGTTTTTATCAAAATCTGTGGGGTTTCTTTGGTTAATCCTAGAGCTCAGTGAAGGTGATGGAATAGAACAACGAATTCCTCAGTTCTGAAGCATTTATTTGTGCATTCAAATTATCTATAAACATATTCGCTGTTTTGCTGAGGGATTGGTGGTGGTGGTGTGATGTCTAACGATGTAATAGATTGCATACCTATGGCATTCTGTCAGAGCTGTATGTGTCCAGTCTGTCCACACATGGCTCTGGCATCTTATGGGGTTTAATGTCAGGTCCTTGTTGCTATTCAGACTTGTCATCTGAATTACATGAGGTTACTTTGGTTTTGTTTTCTGATGGATGTCTTGATCTTCACAAACAAAGATGAGAACCCATAGCAGTAGTTTTGCTCATAACAGTATCTACATAAAGAATAGCAATTTCCCAGGATTGGTGCAATGAAAAACACCATTTGGATAAACATTCAGTGATAAATTAAAAAAAAGAGAATGCGGACATAGCCCAGTGGGGAAAGAATTCAAAATGTAACAACACAGACACAAAAGCTTTTTTCTTTTCTTTGTCCATCTCTAAAAAATGACTGCACTATTTAATTATGGACAGCCTTATTTAGAGGATTTAACAGGTTGTATAGGTATAGCAATCAGAAGACAAGGGGGAAAAACCCCCAGTATGTCCTGAATACTCTTTTATGACCTAGGAATAAGCACATGTTTAGTCTTAATTTCATGGCAGAAAATGCAGACAGCAATTATTTGATTTAATTCTGATAAGACTGTCATTCAGTTAAGTGGTCAACCAAAATCATACAAGTGAACTGAACTTATGTAAGGTGTATGCCTTTGCAGAATCATAATACTATTTTAGAGTTTTGTTTAAATACTGTAGTGTCTCTCTCTTTCTTTCTCTCTCTCTCGTTTTCTCTGTTGTTTTAAAGTCATTGATGTTTGGCCTAAATTTAAAGTGGAGCTTTCCAGCTTTTTTTTACAGGCTTTTTTCATATTCTTCCTCTTTTTTTCCACTGCTATTAAATGGCATATACCTTCATACCCAAAGAAGTATTTTTGCGGCTTCAACTTTTAAGAAGTTTTTACCTTTTAAGAAGGTTCCTATCAAATTCATCAGAATGTGGCTCAAACCCATAAGTAGGGGTCCTCAAAATATGAGTGAGTGGGAAATAAGAGTCCATCAGGAGCCTAAACAAAGAAAACCTCACCTTCTGTCAGAGCATGCCTGAATTTGTATTTGGCCTCCAAATTCCCTAGGGCACAGGCTGCCTCTTTTTCAAGGCTCTTGGAGCACCTGATACCATAAGGGTCCACTCTCATTTGACTTGGGCTCTTTTGGAAAGGATGTGAGTGATAATGAAGATGTGAGAGCTTGACATGACCTTGCTGAAATGAGAACTCACCTGAATGAAACTGTAAGGTTCCCAGTATGTGAAGAAATAAAGATAGACAGGAACAGACTGCTTTGCCTAGATAGAGCATATTAGAGATGGGTATAGAAGTACTTGTCCCAGTGGTATTGTCCCTTGGCTGTGTAACCTGGCCTCAATTTTAGTCCAGTTGCCTGTTTTTCTACATGCCCCATGAAAGCCAATTCCCTGGCTGCTGTGTGTCTTCTTTATATTTCTTTATAATGTAGATTCTAGCTGTTTAACTGCAGTAGACTTTATGATAAGGCTTTTTTTCCCCCTCTCTTGGCAGAATCCCGAGACTTAATTTTAAAAGACGTTCAAACCCCTAAACACTCCTGAATGACTTACAGGAAAAGAAGAGTGTTTGCTAGCTCTGTTTTTAAAAATATTACAATCTTTTCTTATTATGCAATTTTGTCATTGTTATAAATAAGTAATTGTACTGGGGAGAAGGGATAATCCTTATTTAATTAAATTCATCTATAGTCCCAGGTTGGCAGCAACCAGACATATGTGAGACTAATACCCACAGCCTGCCTGTATGCATGTCCAATTAAAAATTCACTCTACACTGGCACTGGCAGTTTAGTGTTGCTTTTGGCATTTACAGATTCTTTTATTTTGTGATTTTTTTTTTACCATACACATATGCTGGAGCAGATGTTGCTTATTTGTTGTTTATTCAAATCTGTAGTCTCTGGCAGCTACCTCCATTGTTCTGTAATGAAGCTTTATTCACTGTCCTGTATTAGGACCCAGCAAACGCATGATGGGCAGAGTTAGCTCTCAGCAGGAGCTACGGTTATTGTCCTTACTTATTGGCTGTTTATATTCTAAAGCTCAAAGTTGAGAAAGCTGGCTGGGCAGGGTAAGGGGCTATATGCTGTGTGCAGAGGAGAAATACTTGATTCCACTTACTTTATCCTTGCCCTGATAAGGTACAGGCTTGCATGTAAAATCATCTGTTGCAGAGGTTTTGTATTCAGCACTTGAAAAATAGAGCTGTTCTCCCCCTCCACTCCCTGTCCCATCTTGTTCTCCTCCTTCTACTCCTGCTGTTCCTTCATTTTTTAATCAGCCTTTGTAAAGCACTGGGTATAACTAAAGGATGTTTCAATGCTGCTCACTCCTGTTAACTCAGCATGTGCCTGAAAATTCATTAAGAGCAGTGCCTATCAGGGAGGCATGGGAAGTGTGTTATTTCGGTGAATGTTGTAGTCACCCACTACCCCTTGCTCCTAGCTTACTTCCCTCTTCCTCTGCGGGGTGCCCATGCACCGGACAGGCAGCAATTTCTGCATGGTGCTGACCCAAGCAGACACTGCTCCCAGGAACTCCAGTGCCAACACAAAGGCATTAGCCTGCTGGAAAAGCCCTTGGTAGCCCAAGAGGTAATCAATCAGGCAAGTAACCACCTCCATCTGTCTCACTGTGACATGGTAGCTTGCTACCAATGCACTTGTGATTCATCTTGTCCCAACTGGTGGTGCCAGGGATCACATAACATGCAGTTTTTGCAGCAGCTGGGAGCGTCCCAGCTTCCCTGCTGCTGAGCTAACACGTTAGCTTCTGTGACTGATCAAGTAGGAATTTTTTCAGTTCTCACACCTTCACTCCTCCTACTCACCAACTCCTCCGATGCTTTGGCAACACGGCGATATTCACAGAATGTAATTGGTATTTCTTTTAATTGACTGAGTGCTGAGAATGTGAATCCTGTTTATTATCCATTGCAAATTTTGCCTGCAATTGAAGGAACAATGTCTTCAAAAGTACAAGAAGAAAAGGTATGTATATTTCCTATGCTTCAAAGAGTACAGGATTTCTGTGTACCTTTCTCTAGTTTCAGTATTAAGAAGTGAACTGCTAATTCATATATCATATTTGCTATAGTGCCAACACAACACTGTTTTTCTTTATGCATAACACAGTGACTTTTAGTGTTAAGTACATATTAAAGGAAAGGAAAAGGCAAAGAGACAGGCAAAAGGAAGACTTGTTAAATCTGCAATCAAAAATTGGGAGCTGAACTTAAAAATCTCCTACAACTATTCTTGTGTTGATACCAAATGACATTTATAATAAAATTTGTCATTGGTTCATGACAACATACAACCTCCAAATAACAAGTTCTCCCTTCATAAAACACAATGGATAATAGATCCGTGGATCCCTCTCTACAACAGTTTTATCTTCTGCAGGTGTCCTGGCACAAAGGAGACATACACCTTCTTTAGCTTCTCTGGATTGCCTACATTTGTTTTATGAGGCTGTAGCCCATCTTATACATTTGAACCATATAAAGGTCTTCATATTCTTTCCCATTTCTTCCATTATGGATCTGTAAATGAGAATAAAAGGAAGCTGTAACATTTTAATGCATTTTTTGTCCTGAATAACTCTGGAGGCAAAGTGGTGTGGTCCCAGAAAGAAGCAGAGAGAAAAGAGTAAAGTGAAAAGCAAAGTTGTGAAATGATGAATCTTCAAACTTCCCTGTATCTTTTTCCCATCCAGAAAAAACTTAAGTTGTCTGTTTTCCTCAGAGGAGTCCTCTGGAAAGACAATTTACTTTTGCACCTCTTGAGATACCCTGTCTGCTTTATTTTGCCTTGATGTATCTCACTTACTTGTATATGTCTAAGCCCAGCAATGGATATTAAGATGGAGATTCAGAATGTGGTGATGCTGTGTTCACAGTACAGAAACCAAATTGGCAACAAAGAAGGGACGACTGGTAGACTTTTGAAATGGTTTCTGCAAGGTCGTGCCACCCAGCAGTGGTGTCAGGATACTCTGCCTGCAGTTCTCAGGTCTAGAAGCATGCCAGGAGCTTTAGGGGGTTGTACAATTTTTAGTGAGAAAATTTCTAAAAGTCATTGCACATTTATGTCATTTTGTTGCATGTGTATGTCATATTTTAGGTCCTACTGCAGCAGGCTGATTCATCCTACTGGGAAAGGATATGCACACACTGCATGCTGAAGGCAGATGGGCCAGTGAAACTTATAAAACCTGCTGTTGTTTAAATCATAGGGGGAAAAAATCATAAAATATCTTAGGTATCTAGGAGGATGACCAAATACTTAAAAAACAGAGATTGGTTTAGATCGTGATAGCCTTTCAAACAAGAAAAATTCTGAAGTTAAATCTAATTGTTCTGAAGTTGTGCTGAGTCCTTGAAAGGACTTTTCTATTATTTCCATCTCCGCCTTTTCTTCCCATGCCCTCAACAGAGCACAGAAGGATCAGAGACTGTGTCACAGACCTCCATGTTGTTGCTATACTAATTGTTCCAGTTGACAGCACGATCCTTTGAACCTTGCTGCAAAATTCAAAATCCAAACCCCACATCCAGCTCAGGCTTTGAGGCAGCTTTGTGAGAACATCCATGCTTTTTCTGATGACACCACTTTGCTTTGCGAGGATTAATTCACCTCACTGTTGGTGGTACCTCTGAGAAGAGGATCTTTAGTGTTATCCTGAATGTATTTTTATGCTCTAAAGAACTTTACATGATTTCTGTTCCGAAGATCTTCTACATGCTTCTCAACCACTGGCTGATACATAACATTTTTCCTTGGGAAAATATCACTGACAAAGAGGCAAGCTTACTGAGTCTGACACTCTTAGACCCTCTAGACAGAGTTTAATGGCTATTACCATTGAAACTACACCATTGTAATTGTTTTTTGATCTCTACAAAGTAACACCCAAAAGTCAGTACCTGTTCTGGCTTACCAATTGCTTTGGGCACTGCTGACCAGGCAGAAGTTGTAGGACCTAGCAAAAACATGTGGGCTTGTCCTGGTTCCAGCCAGACAATTTTGCAGCAGCCAGAAGGGACACAGCCAGGACCCTGAAGTAATTCAGCACCACCTTCCAACATTTGACAGAGGTGACAGAGGGGGGGTAGGGTTTTTCCAGTTTTGCCAGGGTGTGCAGAGTGTGCAATCAGGTGGCACCAGGTTCCATATAGTGAGTCATGGTTGTCTTGTACACTGTGCCATTAGTGGTAGTGTTGTTACTGTTTATTTTCTTATTTCATTGCTGCTTCTAGTAAATTGTTCTTATCTCAATCTGTGATCTTTACCTTTTTGTGCCTCCAATTCTTCTCTCCATTCTACCAGGGGATGGGAGCAGGGGATGGGGAGGCAGAGGGGCTGGAGAGTAATTGAGCAAGCTGCACATGGTCTGGGGTGTTTCCATGGGAACATTAAATTGGAGAATTCCATTCCTAAACCACAACAGGGTTTTTCATTCATTTTTGTCAAAGGTCTCCATAAAGGGTGCTGGAAGCCATCCTCCCTTTCATGGGGTGGTCTCAATTGCAGAGAGCCCTATGAGGCTCCCTGTGATCACTTATTTTTTATTCGTTATCTCTGCAGCTGCCACTGGGAGCATTTGTGATGTAATGTAATCTACAGTGTAGGCTGATGACATTCAGCTTTACCTCTCATTTTCATCAGAAGCAGACACAACCATCACCCGTCTCTCCTGACATTTGGCAGTGGCACAAATCTGAATTAAAGACAATTGCATGAAGCTCAGTTGAAATAAGATGGAAGTGATACTGACTCTCAAGGAAAAGTAGGAGGAGGACCTGTCAAAGTTTGAAGCTGTTTCATCAGCTGAGGGAAAATAAAAGACTGCAACTTCAGGTTTTGTCTAGATTCATCACTACTACCTCCCCAATTTCAGAAACATAGAATCATAGAATCATAGAATTAACCATGTTGGAAAAGACCTCCGAGATCACCAAGTCCAACCCTCGATCCGACACTGCCATGGTTACTAGACCATGATGCTAAGCACCACATCCAGTCTCATCTTAAAAACCTCCAAGGACGGTGAATCCACTGCCTCCCTGAGCAGCCCATTCCAATGTCTGATTATCCTCTCTGTAAAATTTTTTTCCAAATATCCAACATAAACTTTCCCAGCAGAGCTTAAGATCGTACCCTCCTGTCCTACTGCTGGTTGCCTGGGAGACTGATGCCCCTCTGGCTCCAACCTCCTTTCACATAGTAGAGTGATGAGGTCTCCCATGAGCCTCCTCTTCTCCAGGCTAAACAACCCCAGCTGCCTCAGCCTCTCCCCATAGGACTTGTGTCCGAGTCCCTTCTCCAGCCTCGTTGCTCTTGGCCTTTTTGAACCTCATCCTGTTGGCATCAGACCATCTCTCCAGCTTGTCCAGCTCCCTCTGAAGAGCCCTCCTGCCTTTCAGCAGATCCACACTCCCCCCCCAACTTGGTGTCATCTGCAAATTTGCTAATGGTACACTCAATCCCCTCATCCAGATCATCAATAAAGATATCAAACAGAACTGGGCCCAACACTGATCCCTGGGGGACACCACTGGCCACCAACTGGATGCAGCACCGTTCACCACCATTCTCTTGGCCCGGCCCTCCAGCCAGTTCTTAATCCAGCACAGAGTGCCCCTGTCCAAACCGTGGACTGCCAGCTTTTTCAGGAGAATGCTATGGGAGATGGTGTCAAAGGCTTTGCTGAAGTTCATATAGACCACAGCCACAGCCTTCCCCTCATCCACCAGGAGGGTCACCTGATCATAAAAGGAGATCAGGTTGGTCAGACAGGACCTGCCCTTCCTAAAACCATGCTGACTGGGTCTGATCCCTTGTCTATCCTGTAGGTGTTGTGTGATTGCACTTAGGATGATCTGCTTGCCAGGCACTGAGGTCAGGCTGACAGGCATGGAGTTTCCCGGGTCCTCCTTGCAGCCCTTTTTGTGGATGGGCGTGACATTCGCCAACTTCCAATCATCTGGGACCTCCCCAGTGAGCCAGGACTGTTGGTAAATGATGGAGAGCGGCTTGGCGAGCTCTTCCACCAGCTCCCTCATCACCCTAGGGTGGATCCCATCTTGTCCCATAGACTTGTGAGGATCCAAGTGGCTCAGCAGGTCGCTAACTGTTTCCTCCTGGATTACAAGGGGGCTATTTGGCTTCCTGTCTCTGTCTACCAGTTCCAGAAACCAGTTGTCCTGAGGACAACCTGTCTTACTGTTGAAAACTGAGGCAAAGAAGGTGTTAAGTACCTCAGCCTTTTCCTCATCTTTGGTGACTATGTTCAACATAGTCCCTCCTTTTGCTATTGATGTATTTGTAGAAGCACTTCTTGTTATCCCTAACAGAAGTGGCTAGACTGAGTTCAAAGTGTGCTTTTGTCTCTCTAATTTTCTCTCTACATGACCTAACTATATTCCTAAACTCTTCATGAGTAGCCAGCCCTTTTTTCCATAGTCTGTAAGCTCTCTTTTTTTCCCCAAATTTCCTTTAAAATCTCCCTGTTCAGCCAGGCTGGCTGTCTTCCCTGCTGGCTTGCCTTTCAGTACACTGGGACAGCCTGCTCCTGTGCATTCAAGACTTGCTTCTTGAAGCGTGTCCATCCCTCCTGGACCCCTTTGTTTTCAAGGGCTATTTCTCAAGGTACCCTCTGAACCAGTCTTTTGAGCAGGCCAAAATCTGCCCTGTGGAAGTCCAGGGTAGAAGTTTTATTGATGTCCCTCTTTGCGTCCCTGAGTATTGAAAACTCTATTATTTCATGGTCACTGTGCCCCAGATGGTCTCTGACCACCACATCACCCACCAAGCCCGTCTCTGTTTGTGAACAGCAGGTCTAGCAGGGCCCAATCCCTGGTAGGCTTATTTACCAGTTGAAGCAGGAAATTACCTGATTTATCACAGAGAACTGACTGATAAATACATGATTTATCACAGAGAACTGACTACTGTGTTCTCTCTTTTCCTGTCAAATTCAGCTCTTAGATTACTCATTTATACTTTTATCATTTCTAGGGCAGTGTGTTCTTGTGTAGGACAGGCAGGAGATGACGGGAAGCTCTGACTTGCAGAGTAAGCAGCCACTTTGCTCTTGAGCATAGCAGTTTGCAGGGGTATATCCTTGAAAGAGGCAAAGGAGGATGTGAAGCCTGGTGTGTGTACTTCCAGTGTCCCAGGAACTATTCATGTGTCTCCTGCTAATGATGGCTGTGAGAAACAGACCCCAGTGATAACCATGTAAAGAACTGCAGGCTAAACAAGGAGACTAAGTAAAATATCGTTTGCTGACACATGACTTGTGTGCCTCCTGATCCTGTCTCACATCCTTGAGGTGCAGCATATGTTCACTTGTGTCCCACCTGAGGTGGATGCAGTCATGTGAACTCCAGGGCTTTCCCCTCTTTTTCACAATGAGTTTGACTTCACCCTCACAAGAGAAATATGCTTGAAGTCATCTATATGGCAGTGGTAGCCAAAGTGATAGGGAGAAAAACGCTGGAGACTGGGTAAGAGCTGGGGTTCTGATAAGCAGAAGAAA